CCGTCCTGCTCCACCTCTGTTAGTATCTGTCAATGGTCCAAGTCGGACCGAAACGTCGTCGTAAGCTTCTCTCTTTTATGTGCGGGTTATTTGTGTAGTGTGCTGTAAAGTTTTTTATGAGGATAGTGAGGCTCAGGTTAGGGTGTGTATCATTATAATCAAGGGGAAGCGCTAAACCCGTAGGACTATACAGCGCCTGGGGGGGGGATGTGGAAGGCATTCAGGCTTAATTCGGGGAACCGGAGCACAGATCCAATTCCCTAGATCAAGAGCCCTTCACCAGTGTCAAGGAACCTCCCTTGAGGGGACCTACACTGTAAAGGAGGGGTTGAGATATTGGCAGTTTGGAGGGACATCTAAACTGTCATATCTGAGTGCCACTGCAAAGACAGTGATTATGTATGAGTAATGGTGAGTGTGTTGAATGATTTAACTTTTTTTTTTCTTTTTGGGTCACCTTGCCTTGGTGGAAATTATTATTATAATCAAGGGGGAAGCGCTAAACCCGGAAGATTATACAGCACCGGGGGGGGGGGGGATGTGGAAGGCATTCAGGCTTAATTCGGGGAACTGGAGCACAGATCCAATTCCCTAAATCAAGAGCCCCTCACCAACATCAAGGAACCTTCCTTGAGGGGCCTTGGTGGAAAATGTCAGTGTTAAAGAAAATTAAGCACTAAACCCACAAGGGTCGTACAGTGCTGTGGTCTCTCTGCGGTAAGAGACTTTCTCAATTTTTCTTTAGTTTGGCTTCAAAACTTCTCTTGAAATAGTTCCAGACTGTATGTCCTGACCCCTCAAGGGAGGCTCCTTGATGCTGGTGAGGGGCTCTTGATCTGGGGAATTGGATATTAGTGTCCATTTGACAATTTGTGAATACTATATTTATAGCAGTTCAAATCTTCTGTGCTAAAAGTACTTAACTGTGTTTGAAACTCTTGCCACACACTGCACTAACCCTTTCACATGCAATGAGGTACAGGGATCTGGAGTTATGCAATACCAGGTTACCTTTCTCAGATCATGCAGCAACTGATATACATCTAGTTGTCACTCATGAGGAGTGCTAAACCCATAGGGGTCATACAGCACCTGGGGGAATGGGAGGCAATCAGGTCTAATCACAAGGAAGGTGAAAATAGGTTCAATTCCTTGGATCAACAGCACCCCCCAGGCACTGAAGTACCGCCCTCCAAGGTACATATAATTATATAACTCTCAATGCACAAATTCAGATACACAACTGTGTATATATAGATTTAGGGAGAGCACTCAACCCACAAGGGTCATTCAGTACTTATTATACATAATGACATAAGACTGGATAAGCTTTATTCAGGAAATCTACAAATGAATTTACAGACAGTATTATAAATTTGTACAATGTTCTGAGGATGCATAATTGTGGGAATACATACTGTACAATGTTCTGAGGGATACATAAATGTTGTGGGATACATGTATAGCACATTATGTAGATAACTTGGCATAATCTAATCAAGTTAGGTGACTTATTGCTGTTTTTTGATGGTTTACCGGACATGCTGAACTTAGGCTACTTGCATTCCTAAATATTCTTCCAGGTATACCAGTTCCCTGGTACTGTTATTTACTTAGCTAACAAAATATAAAGGCCGATCCTAGATTCATTATATGCCTTTGTAGTCTTTCAACTACTGCCCACATCATGGGTATAGGAGTGTATAATAAAGCTATTAAACTCAGGGAGGGGTATCCTGTGCCACTGTCAACATTGTGATTACAGTCCAATACGTATATCTTTTTGACTTTCTCATTTATGAAAGACCATGCTACTTTATTTTAAAGATATCTTTTTCAACTCCCTTACATACTTGCTCACTACTTTCCCTTCCCTCTCTCTCTGATAGTTAAGCCTTAAATGCAAATTCTTGTCTTCTTTACCCTTAAACTGTCCAAACATAGATCTACGTTCACACGAGTAGTGCTCCAAAAGTAGATCTACATTTTTTACATATTTTCAAATATAAAAAAAAAACGTAGATCAAAGTTTTTTTAAATGTTTTCAAATGTAAAAAAAAGAAGATCTACTTTTTTTTTACATACAGTGGACCCCCGCATACCGTTGGCATCACATAACGTTAAATCCGCATACCGCTACATTTTATCGCCAAGATTTTGCCTCGCATACCGCTAAAAAACCCGCTCAACGCTGTTCGTCCGAGACGCGTCTAATGTGCGCCCTTAGCCAGCCTCACATGTTCCGCCGGTGGCATTGTTTACCAGCCAGCCTCCGCGGTAACATCCAAGCATACAATCGGAACATTTCGTATTATTACAGTGTTTCTGGTGATTTTATCTGCAAAATAAGTGACCATGGCCCCAAGAAAGCTTCTAGTGCCAACCCTACAGGGAAAAAGGGTGAGAATTACTATAGAGATGAAGAAAGAGATCATTGATAAGTATGAAAGTGGAGTGCGTGTCTCCGAGCTGGCCAGGTTGTATAGTAAACCCCAATCAACCATCGCTACTATTGTGGGCAACAAAAAGGCAAACAAGGAAGCTGTTCTTGCCAAAGGTTTAACTGTGTTTTCGAAACAGAGATCGCAAGTGATGGAAGATGTTGAGAGACTGTTTTTTGGTGTGGATAAATGAGAAACAGATAGCAGGAGATAGCATCTCTCAAGTGATCATAAGTGAAAAGGCTAGGAAGTTGCATGAGGATTTAATTAAAAAAATGCCTGCAACTAGTGATGATGTGAGTGAATTTAAGGCCAGCAAAGGGTTGGTTTGAGAGATTTAAGAGGCGTAGTGGCATACATAGTGTGATAAGGCATGTGAGGCTGCCAGTTCGGACACAAGCAGCTGAAAAATATGTGCAGGAATTCAAGGAGTACATAGAAACTGAAGGACTGAAACCTGAACAAGTGTTTAATTGTGATGAAACAGGCCTGTTTTGGAAGAAAATGCCAAGCAGGACCTACATTACTCAGGAGGAAAGGCACTCCCAGGACATAAGCCTATGAAAGACAGGCTTACTCTGTTGATGTGTTCCAATGCTACTGGTGATTGCAAAGTGAAGCCTTTATTAGTGTATCACTCTGAAACTCCCAGACCGTTCAGGCAAAAGAATGTCCTCAAGGAAAATTTGTGTGTGCTGTGGAGGGCAAACAGTAAGGCATGGGTCACTAGGGACTTTTTCTATGACTGGTTACACCATGCATTTGCCCCCAATGTGAAAGATTACCTAACTGAAAAGAAATTAGAACTTAAGTGCCTCCTGGTGTTAGACAATGCCCCTGGTCATCCTACAGACGTGGCAGAGTGACTTTATGGGGACATGAAATTCATTAAGGTGAAGTTTTTGCCTCATAATACCACTCCTCTCCTGCAGCCCATGGACCAGCAGGTTATTTCAAACTTCAAAAAACTGTACACAAAAGCTCTGTTTGAAAGGTGCTTTGTAGTGACCTCAGAAACTCAACTGACTCTAAGAGAGTTTTGGAGAGATCACTTTAATATCCTCAATTATGTAAACCTTATAGGTAAGGCTTGGGAGGGAGTGACTAAGAGGACCTTGAACTCTGCTTGGAAGAAACTGTGGCCAGAATGTGTAGACCAAAGGGATTTTGAAGGGTTTCAGGCTAACCCTGAGAATCCTATGCCAGTTGAGGAATCCATTATGGCATTGGGAAAGTCCTTGGGGTTGGAGGTTAGTGGGGATGATGTGGAAGAGTTGGTGGAGGAGGACAATGAAGAACTAACCACTGATGAGCTGATAGATCAACTTCAACAGCAAGAGGCCAGACCTGAGGAAACTGGTTCGAAGGAGGGGAGAGAGAAATTGCCTACTACAAAGATTAAGGAAATCTGTGCAAAGTGGCTTGAAGTGCAAACCTTCATGGATGAAAATCACCCTCACACAGCTATTGCAAGCCGTGCTGATGACTATTACACTGACAATGTTGTGAAACACTTTAGGGAAGTCATAAAGGAACGAGAGGTACAGGCCACTATGGACAGATATGTTGTGCTACAGAACTCCAGTGACTCTGAAGCTGGCCCTAGTGGCATTAAAAGAAGAAGGGAAGTAACCCCAGAAAAGGACTTGACACCTCAAGTCTTAATGGAAGGGGATTCCCCTTCTAAACACTAACACTCTCTCCTCCTCCCATCCCATCAATCATCACCAGATCTTCAATAAAAGTAAGTGTCATGTAATTGTGCATGCCTTTTTCAGTTTGTGTGTATTAAAATTAATATTTCATGTGGTAAAATTTTTTTTTTTTCATACTTTGGGGTGTCTTGCACGGATTAATTTGATTTCCATTATTTCTTAAGGGGGAAAATTCATTCGCATAACGATAATTTCGCATAACAATGAGCTCTCTTGCACGGATTAATATCGCTATGCGGGGGTCCACTGTACTTTCAAATGTTGAAAAAACATAGATCTACGTTTGGACAGTTTAAGGGTTAACAGATTTTCTGCACTGTAAGCTGCTCCTCTTCTCAAGTTTCAAATCCAAACACCTCTACTTCTTTCCTTCTGTTGTCTTTTCCACATTTGCCATGAGTATAATAATTACAGGATTAAGAGTCACTTCTACATAATGTACAGGACGGCACTGCATATACAGAGCCTCTTTTCATTGTTCCACATTTCTGTTGGCTTTCAACCGAGTCGTTGTTCATTATGTTCAGTGCTTTTATTGCTTTTCCGCATGACAGTTGTATAAGGGAGGGGTGGTTGGCACCATATTTTAAGGTAAGTATTGAATGTACTGTGTATTTTACTTTATTATCTGTTTGTTTATGCCTTGAGCACTTAATACATTTCCATCCGCCAGAGATTTTCACTTACCGTATGGGGTTGGGAACTTAGAGTGGTGCAAACGAGGCCCTCCTGTATACAGTACTGTATTATGCTAAAATCATGCACTTACCACAACTACCTCAGATATACAATATATTTTCTGTATGTGATATATTCTGAAAGGGAGAATTACTAAAGGCATTAGTGATTTTTTTTTTTTTTGCTATTTATATACAATGAAGGATTTGTAGGAAGGCTCCAGAAATTTTGAAGTTCTGAGAAGCTAAGTGTAAACGTATCTTGATTAGCATTGTAGTCCTGTGCAGTACTATGCTCTGTAGAACTATGAGCATGAATAAAATGTGACTGTATTGTAGAATGCTGATGCTGTTAACCCTTAAACTGTCCAAACGTAGATCTATGTTCACGTGCGTAGCGCTCCGACCTTGATTTTCCCCACTTGAAAGCACGTAAAAAAAACGTAGATCTACATTCGGAGCCCCCCGCACGTGGACACAGATCTACATTTGGACAGTTTAAGGGTTAAAGATTAGCACAAAATCCCTGTGAAACGAAATTGCAGTTTCTGTCGAACGGCGAGCACGGGGAGTATTATGGAGATATTAAACTCTCTCAAAGCCTCTTTAAATAACATCTAACTTGAGTTTTGAGAAATAATTCCCCAAGACAAGCCACTTGAACTTAGAGAAATAATTTCCTGAGACAAGCCAGTTTTTAAATAATTTATTGATCATGACAGAATAAAGAATTTCTTTTCTAAGCAAAAGAGAACAAATCAATTTCAAAACTGAAGTACAGTCATGAATTTTGAAAAAAAAAGTCAACTGTGATTATAATAGAATCTATATTAAGATCTATAAGTATTCTGTTTTCATTTGTTCTTATTATGTTGTTGCTATATAAGAATGTACTAATCTGGTAGAAATTAGCATATTCCATACTCTCTTATATGAATACAAGTCTTGCCTCACATTTTGTATTCAAGAACGGTAAAATGTTTTATATTCAAGAACGGTAAAATGTTTTATATTCAAGTATGGTAAAATGTTTTATATTCAAGAACGGTAAAATGTTTTATATTCAAGAATGGTAAAATGTTTTATATTCAAGAACGGTAAAATGTTTTATATTCAAGAACGGTAAAATGTTTTATATTCAAGAATGGTAAAATGTTTTATATTCAAGAATGGTAAAAAAATTATATTAAAAACGGTAAAATATTTTATATTCAAGAACGGTAAAATATTTTATATTCAAGAACGGTAAAATGTTTTGGCCTTCTTAAATTTAAAAATCTTAGTGAATAATAAAATTTACATATATAAAAAATTTAAATAATTATTAACCCTTTCACTGTTGGTCCTATAATATTATGTCTTGCCAGCCAATGTCGGTCTTGTAATAAAATGCCAAAATTCTAGTGACTTCCAATCTTGCGGGAGAAAGCTGGTAGGCCTACACATGAGAGAATAGGTCTGAGTGGTCAGTGTGTGCAGTATCAAAAAAAATCCTGAACACACACAGTGCATAATGAGAAAAAAAAACTTTGTGTTTTTCATTTAAAACAGCGTCTTTGCTGTGTATTTTCGTATGGTATTTATGGTTGTATTCTCGTTTTCTTGGTCTCATTTGATTGCTAGGAAGATATATTACAGAATTAGAGATGATTTTGAATGGTTTATGGACTAAAAGTATTTTGAAATTGAGCTTAAAGTAGCGAAAATGTTCGATTTTTGCCGATGTTCAAGAGTAAACAAATCACGTCATGCGCCCAATACATGTCAACTAGTGGGTCTAATATGCTTTCACAAATGCGTTGATATTATTTATATAATTTTTACAATTATGCAGTAGTCTGCATAACAATAAATCTTCTATTGTTTGTGTGAATAAAAATTCAAACTGGAAAGCAAGCATAATATATGAGGGGGCCTAGAGACATGACTAATGCAGAGAGAAAATGTTATTTTAGTGCCAGGAATGTTTGTATTGTTAATTCTAGCCCCTATTTTGAAATTGGCCTTATTTGAGTTGTGTATGAAATTGACCAAATTGCCAATTTCTGATCACTTTACTGGGTAGTTGAAATCAGTAAGTTGGTGGTTTCTTGTACTCAGTTGATAGAACAAAACGAGTTCTAGCAAAATAGTTATGAGTTTTGTTGACTAGAACAATGAAATTGGCCGAAAATAGGGCTCAAAGTGGACAAAATCACCGATGCGTAAATATCGCCAAGACTGCTAACTTTGCAAGAGCGTAATTCCATAAGTTTTCCATCATCAGGAAAAAATGGTCTATCATTTCATAACAAAGTTATTTTTTCTGAAAATTCTTCGAAACTGAGAGCAAGTCTGTAAACAACGATCTCAACAGTGAAAGGGTTACAGTTACTGATTTTATTTTGACTTTGATACAATTATTATTTATCACTGCAGTTAAAGTACGATATATCTTAAATAAAAAATATTTTTTTTTAAATTACTGTAGTTGCCAATTATTATTACCAGTATTGTAATTTTAACTATTAAAATGTTTTAAAATAGTGAAAATAGTTTAAAAATAATAAATATGGCCTGTCTCAATGCTCAAAGTACAACTTTTTAATCGAAGAACAAGATGCTTATAAACAGGTGGTCCTTGACTTACTATAGGGTTATGTTCCGATGGACCTACTGTAAGTCAAAAATATCCTAAGTCAAAAATATCATGAGTCGAAAGTATCATTAAGTCAAAAATATTGTAAGTTAAAAATACATTGTAAGTCGAAAATGAATATATGCTAAACAAATAATTATTGTACCTAAATACCAGTATTGAGAAGTAAATAAATAAATAAAAGTTAAGGACTTGCAGCCTTCATGCTGGGTGATTATCTTAAGTTTCCTCTCTAAAGTAATTGCATTTGCGCCACTGTAGAGTCGAAACATTGTAAGTTGAACCATTGTAAGTCAAGGAGCACCTGCACTTGCTATCAACATGTTCCAAGGAACAAACAGGGCCCTTGTTGAACACTGTACATGAAGGTCATCTGAACCTTTTAATCGATGGAAATGGATCTAACAATAATGTACAAGTTGAGCTCGAGGCAGTTCTAGGAAGACTTGTCACTTTCTTCCTCTGAGTCGTCTTCGTCATGGTGGTGAGTGACTCGCTTCGGCGTCTCGGCTCTGGTGTGTGGGACTAGTGAGTCAGCTTTCTCTAACACCTGAACAAGAGAGAAAGGATGGTGAATTCTCAATGAACAGTACAGCCTCTCCTCACTTAGCGATGTACTTGTTTAATGGTTCAACTTATCAGTCTTTTTATTACTCTACTTATTTTTGAGGATGTGTGTCTGTAATTACCTGTTTATATCTACAAGAGCAAAGCTCATGATGTACTGTCTTCAGCCCGTCGTAAGCCTCAGGCTTACGACGGGCTCTCTAACCAGTATTTATACCTAAATAATGTACATGTATATTAGAACTATTTTCTCTATTCTGTTTATTCAATATGCAGTACACTACTGTATAAACATTTAAAAATACAGTGGCCCCCTGTTTAACGATATTTTTTCATTCCAGAAGTATGTTCAGGTGCCAGTACTGACCGAATTTGTTCCCATAAGGAATATTGTGAAGTAGATTAGTCCATTTCAGACCCCCAAACATACACGCACTTACATAATTGGTCGCATTGGGAGGCGATTGTTAAGCGGGGGTCGACTGTATACCAGAAATGTTATAAATGGTGCAAAGGTAACATTAAAACAATATCAAAGATGGTTGACACAAACCCACTACCATTATAGCATGCTCCTCACTTAGTGACTAATTTGTTTAAAGACATGGTCTTAGGAATGGAACTCCATCGCTGAGGAGAGGTTGTATTGTTGTTTTCAACAAGCAGGCCGTCTCCCACTGAGGGCTTCTTATAATATCAGCTAAAACTGACTATAGTAATTTGCCTACAATTGAGGTCAGGCTTATTGGGTGGTAACTAGATGGTAATGACTTGTCTCCTGCTTTAAAAATGGCAAGGTGACAAAGAGAAAAACGTAAGTTAACGGAGCTTGTTGATATTTTGTAAAAGTAGCATTCACAACTGAACAAAGGTAATTGTTTTATTATTAACACATCAGCCGTTTCCCACTGAGGCAGGGTAACCCGAAAAGGTAATTACTTTCATTAGTGATTTACACTTGCACTCCAAATTAGGTACAGTGGACCCCTGCATACCGTACGCATCACATAACGTTCAATCCGCATACCGCTCGCTTTTATCGCAAAAATTTTGCCTCGCATACCGCTCAAAAACCCGCTCACCGCTCTTCGTCCGAGACGCGTCCAATGTGCGCCCTTAGCCAGCCTCACATGTGCCGCCGGTGGCATTGTTTACCAGCCAGCCTCCGCGGTAACATCCAAGCATACAATCGGAACATTTCGTATTATTACAGTGTTTTTGGTGATTTTATCTGCAAAGTAAGTGACCATGGGCCCCAAGAAAGCTTCTAGTGCCAACCCTACAGCAATAAGGGTGAGAATTACTATAGAGATGAAGAAAAAGATCATTGATAAGTATGAAAGTGGAGTGCGTGTCTCCGAGCTGGCCAGGTTGTATAATAAACCCCAATCAACCATCACTACTATTGGTGGTACTGCTGCTGCTGCTGCTGTAGCACCATTGTTGGTGTGGCTTATTGAGAATACCAAGAAACAATTAACCCCAGAGGATTTGCCACCCAGGATAACCCAAAAAAGTCAGTGTCATCGAAGACTAACTTATTTCCATTGGGGTCCTTAATCTTGTCTCCCAGGATGCGACTAACACCCAGGTGAACAGGGAAAAATGCCTGGAACTAGTGCTCATATTGGTGAATTTAAAGCCAGCAAAGGTTGGTTTGAGAGATTTAAGAATCGTAGTGGCATACACAGTGTGATAAGGCCTGTTCTGGAAGAAAATGCCAAACAGGACCTACAGTACTCAGGAGGAAAAGGCACTCCCAGGACACAGTGTCTCATCAGTCATTGCTGCATCTTCAATAAAGGTAAGTGTCATTTATTCTTCATTTAGTAGACTAGTACATGCACAATATATATTGTGCATGTACTACTCTACTATTGTGCATGTATCCTTCTCTTTGTGTGTAGGAAAATGTATATTTCATGTGGTAAAATTTTTTTTTTCATACTTTTGGGTGTCTTGCACGGATTAATTTGATTTCCATTATTTCTTATGGGGAAAATTCATTCGCATACCGATCATTTCGCATAACAATGAGCCCTCTTGCACGGATTAAAGTCGCTATGCGGGGGTCCACTGTAATTATAATCATAAATGAAGTAGTCACACCCAAAATTAGGTTCAATTATAATAAAAAATCGTACCTGTAACTCTCATGGGAGGTCACCTGATGCCAGTGAAGAGCTTTTCATCTAAGGAACTGGAACTAATTTTCCCTTCCTTGTATTAAACCTGATTACCTCTCATTTCCCCTAGGACTGTATGACCCCTCTGGGTCATACAGTCTGAATGCCTTCCATTACCCCCACCCTACAGGCACTGGATAATCCCTAAGGGTTTAGTGCTCCCTCATGATAATAATAATCCACTCCTTCCTTCAGAGTGCAGGCACTGACCTTCCCACCTTCACGTGGGAAGGTCAGACCAGTGGAAATGGAACTGCAAATATTTTTTTTTTTTAACATGTTGGCTGTTTCCCACCTATGGAGGGTGACCTAAAAAGAAAGAAAAAACTTTCATCATTCAACACTTTCACTATCACACACACATAATCACCGTCTTTGCAGAGGTGCTCAGATATGACAGCTTAGATGTCACTCCATACTGCCAATATCCCAAACCCCTCCTTTAAAGTGCAGGCATTGTACTTCCCATTTCCAGGACTCAATGATTGGCTAACTGGTTTCCCTGAATCCCTTCATAAAATATTACCCTGCTCACACTCCAACAACTCGTCAGGTCCCAAAAACCATTCACTCCTATCTAACACGATCATGTATACTTGCTGGAAGTCCAAGCCCCTCGCCCACACCTCCTCCTTTACCCCCTGCAAATATATCTCGTGTTAATGGTCAAAGGTATACTACCCCCTTAAACCCCAGGAATACTCATCATCACAATGTTACCCACAGTGATTGGTTAACACTCAGTACCTATTTAATGATAGGTGAAAAGGGGCATCATATGCAAAAAGACATGAGCACATCACCTTCCCCATTACTAAACCTGGGTCCTTCTATTATGAGCTGAAGGTACTACCAGTGATTTACTATATGTAGTACTCAAGATCTTACCCTAATCTTTTGCCTCTTGGTCTGTAGGTTGTCTGGACTGTCTACTTGTATACTGGAGGCTCTTGAGCGCGTCGAGACTGGTCCATCCCCGACCTGGAACCTCTGCTCGTGGGCAACTGTTGATTCATGAGGCATCTGCAATGGCAAGCAACAGTGATTCATGAGACTGCAACACTGATTCACTATACTGCAACACTGATTCACTAAACTTCAACAATGATTCACTATACTTTAACACTTGTCCTGTTTCCTGACAAACCTTATCTAATTTAACCTAGCTGGGTCATCACATGACTAAGACCCACGTCAGGAAACATTTGTCTTGTTTCCTGACAAACCTAACCTCTGTACACAATTGTCTCATGCTGAAATATATCTCTGTCTGTGTACACTCACCAGCATGGCGGGGGCACGGAACATGTAGCTGAAGGGATAGTAGATCAGGTTGAGAAGTGTAGATGCATACACATCAGCGTATCTTGCTACCTGCGTACCAAAGCAAAGAGAAACGTCAACCAATAACATATATATAACCATTTGCTACATTAGTGTGCTGTGACTACTTGCGGCAGACAAACCTGTGCCTGGATTATAAGTACAAGTTCGTGTATAATACACAAATAACCTGCACATAGTGAGAGAGGAGCTTATGACGATGTTTCGGTCCAACTTGGACTACTTACAAATCACACTAACAGAAAGGAGAGAAGAAGGGCGTATATTTAGGCCAGAAGACAGGGACGGGACAAGAGAGGTAATAGAGGAAGATGAGAAGTAGTAGTAGTGGCGGCGGTGGCAGCAGCAGCAGTAGTAGTAGTAGTAGTAATAGTAGCAGTAGTAGAGGAGTCAAAGACTAAGGAAGTCCATGCTTATCATTCACAAGAATGATGTATGTAAACTACATTTTGATTATCAAAGAGAAAGAAATAAAGATATATTGTATTATTACTCACCTGGGAGCCAAGTTTACCCAGTCAACAATATGCTACTTATTTATAAATTAGACACATGTGCAACACTTGGGTATCTTTAATGAGGAAATGTTTCGCCACACAGTGACTTCATCAGTCCATAGAGGCTCAGGTGGTCTGGTGGTTAACGCTCTCGCTTCACACGGCGAGGGCCTGGCTTCGATTCCCAGCCAGAGTAGAAACATTGGACATGTTTCTTTCCACCTGTTGTCTATGTTCCCCATCAGTAAAATGGGTACCTGGGTGTTAGTGGACTGGTGTGGGTGGCATCCTGGGTGTTAGTGGACTGGTGTGGGTGGCATCCTGGGTGTTAGTGGACTGGTGTGGGTGGCATCCTGGGTGTTAGTGGACTGGTGTGGGTGGCATCCTGGGTGTTAGTGGACTGGTGTGGGTGGCATCCTGGGTGTTAGTGGACTGGTGTGGGAGGCATCCTGGGTGTTAGTGGACTGGTGTGGGTGGCATCCTGGGTGTTAGTGGACTGGTGTGGGTGGCATCCTGGGTGTTAGTGGACTGGTGTGGGTCACATTCTGGGTGTTAGTGGACTGGTGTGGGTCACATTCTGGGTGTTAGTGGACTGGTGTGGGTCACATCCTGGGTGTTAGTGGACTGGTGTGGGTGACATCCTGGGTGTTAGTGGACTGGTGTGGGTGGCATCCTGGGTGTTAGTGGACTGTCGTTGGGTCACATCCTGGGTGTTATGGACTGGTGTTTGGGTGGCATCACTGGGCACTGACCGTAATTTGCATAACTTCAGTCCCAAAATGCCGTGAGGTCATAATCAAGGGACATATTTCCATATAGTAAGTATGTCACTGTTGTCAGCTATGGAAACAGCGAGTAATACCTTGTACATGTACTTGTAGTAAATAAAGATATAATTATTATGACGAAAGGAGATTATTATTATTAATAAAAAAGTAAGCGCTAAGCCACAAGGGACAATACAGCGCTGCTGGGCAGGAAGGAAGCGAGGGCATAGGTGGCAAAAGGGAGATGGATGAGTACTGAGGTTTACGGATAACAGCGGATTCGTGTAGGTGAATAGGGAAAGGGCAGCAAGAGACTGAACAAGAAAGGGCTGAGGGGAGTGCGAACAGTATCATCATAGAGTTTGTGGAGTAAAATCAGTCGTTGGGCAAAGAAGTCAATGAGGAGCAGTGATTAAAGGAGGGATTCCATCAATACAGCAAGAAGGGAAGGTAAAGATAGAGATAGTAGTAACGAGACGAAGTTGTTGAGTAAATTCTGCCGTGCTCGTTGATAGAGAGGCAAGTCAAACAGAAAGGTTGACTAATCGATACTAGTAAAGCTTGACACTGGCTCACAGAGAGGAACAGGGTGCCTCATCTCATGAGATAAAACCCATAGTAAGAACGGAGGTGGCCAAATGCGAAGGCGGAGAGAGTGGTCTCTCCAACCTCGGCACTGATGACAATTCTGAAACCGGCCAGTACTATGCTCGGTTTTAATAGTATGAAAGTTGTTACTCATGAGCAGAGTTGACCAACTTTGTATGCCACGGAACATGGGTGGGCGAAGGTGGTAGGCTATAGCAAGCAAAATATCCAGAAATGGAACATCCACGATAGTGAAATTGGTAGGTCATGTACTGCTCTTCACGCGCCAGCAGTGTCTGCCTGTTCATTTCCACTGTACGTCTGACATGACAAGGGACCCAACAAAAAACAACGACGCAGTACAGGTGTCTGCCTGTTCATTGGCCCTGTACGTCGACATGACCAGGGAACCCAACAAAAAATCAATATCTTTATGTTTGGATAAGATACGGCGTTAGCCAAAAGTTGATACGAAGAACGAGAGGATCAATGAGATGTATACAAATTTCGTATAGCCTGTAGAAGCACTAAGGGATGTCATGAGACTACTATACAAATGATACACAGGACATAGATGCGATATCGAATTAAGTGCTGCAAGAATGGACATACAGTTTACAGCAGTAAAAATGCTAGCTGAAGATAGTTAATTGCCGCCCGCACGACGCTGGTCCGTAAAACTAACTGCTGTTTGGCATACCGACGCCGTCTGACGACTTAGGAGCCCATGCTGTGTACACAGGCGATTGGCAAAGAATGGGAGTGGAAAGTGATCATAGAAAAAAGAGAGCGGGAAGCCACCATTCTTGATATACCACCGCTAGGCGTTGAGTAGCTTTCGAGCAAGGGAGTGAGAAAGAACTGACCTGAACAGCTGAACTTCCCAGGGGGGTGAGGAAAAGTGAAATGCTACATGAAGAAGAGAAGGGCAAGAAAAATATATATAAAAAAAAAAAAAGAGGAAAATGAATATAAACTTTAATAAGGTGGTAACTGTGGGAAGAAGACCCAGAGTGATTGAGGCGAAGAGAAAAGGGATGGACAAACAGAGGCAGTTACTGGAACAATAAAGAATGTCTACTAATATCTGTACCATTCTATAAATTGGAAGGATTTGTAGATCGGGGTGAGAGCGTACATAGTTAAAGACGAAGAGCAATGGCTCACGGCGATCTAGATACAAGGTTGGAACATTCGTTTCTGTATAAGGCTCTCAACAGGGGAGGAGCGAAAAGCACCAAGGCACAAACACGTAATTCCTTGGTGATGGATAGAGTTAAGGCTAAGAGATAGTAAGTCAGGAGAGGCGCCCAGCGGAATAAATCTGTCTCCATAATCGAGTTTCGATAAAACGGGGTCTGATGTAGGCGAAGCAGAGTTTTCGAACGATCAGCTCACCCAGGAAAGATGAAGCAAAGGGGTTTTAAGAAGGTTTAGCCGTCTGTGAACAAATTGTCCTTCAAAGATGGTAACTTGTATGAGGTTTTCCAGCGGATAACCGAACGTCAAAAGAGAAGGACTCTAGAAAGACCTTGACTGTATCACGTTTCGGTTACTGGATACGGAGCCATAGAGATACAAAGGATGACCGGAAGATAACAAGCGTCTAGTGAAGAACTATGGTGAGTTTTTGGTACTTGGAAAATTTAAACCCATGCGTAGGTGGCCCCAAGTGAAACACGGTTTCGGACCATGCAAGCTGGAGAAAAAACTGCAAAAAGATGACAGTTCAGGTGCGCCGCACAAGCAATAGCGATAGTCGGATCAACATATAGCGAACGACCAATAATTGAGGTGGAAAGAGAAGGGGGGGGGGGGGGGGGGGTATTTAAACAAGGGCCAAATCATTTATAGCAAGTAGAAACAGTGTTGTGGAGCTTAGAACACATCCCTGAGGGAACACCTTTCAGCTTTAGCGAAGTCCGGGAGAACAGAAGCATTATTGACTCGAACACTAAATGGTCTTTCAGTTAAAATAATAGTTTCTTAAAGGATGGTAGATTGCCGTTCGGAGGCTAAGGAATTGGGCCTGGGCCAAAAATAATATACCTTCCAAGTTGTCGTTCGATATGCCTATCTCAAGGTCAAAAAATATGGCTATAACCGATGATTATTCGCAGAAGAGCATACAAACATACGTAACTCAAGGCGTAGTTAAGTTAAGGGGTCTATGTAGAACTTGACCCTTAACGAAAGCCATTATTGACTAGCGGAGAGACTGTTGTGATGGTCTCCTAAATACCAACATTAAACGTCGATTTATCGAGACGTTCCATCACTATTGTTGCAAACTGCACTAGTAAGAGGCGATGAGGCGATAGTGATCAGGCATCATGACCTGTAGTACCCGTTTTGCGGAAAAGGGAGAACAATGGTGCAGATTTCCACACCGGCTGGGGAAAACTCCTTGTGCCCAAAATAAAGAATGAAGAAATTGGTGTATAGAGGACTACAAGGGCTGACTGATGTAAAAGTTTAACACACGATATATTGAATGTCGTCAGGCCCCACTGCGAGCTGACCGATGATACGCAAGCCGAGAGCGTTGCCGTTCCAGTGTGAAGTGTAAAAGGCTATTCATTATACTTACTGTTCTTCTCTGAGAGAAGAAAATGTCGCAAGGGTACAATAACTCTCTGGCTGACTTTGATGGAAAGAAATCGAGGGCATAGATTGGAGCCACTCGGGAAATACGATACTCACATGTGGTGATCCAAGTTCGAATTAGCAACGTCGAGAGGGTTTGCCTACATAAACACCAGCTCCCGTAGAACAGCGAGCCCGGGTCAGGAGAGTATTTACCACTCAATTCCTCCTCACTTTTTGTTTTTCCAGACTGGAGGCATCATTGAAACGAAAGCAGAGGTGATGGTGGAAACATTGATCTCTTCTCGGGGGCCAACAAGTTGCGTTTTAGCTTCACGGGATGACAGACACGGCTAGACGATCGCACCGCTTTCTCTAAAAATCAAGAAGTCGTCTCAGCATTCTATTGTACCTGGTACCTGCCCCATGCAGCAACGTTTCAAACATACTGCACAGCACTAGCAGGAGACAACCAAGGCACGCACATTTCTGAGAATGCCTGCCTGAGGTTTGGGGTATATGAATGAGAAGCTTTGCCGGGTATAAACTGACGTCGAGAAGATTGTAGGACTCTCATCAATGGAGGTGAAGAAGGAACCTCACTAAAAGCAGTGGAGGTGTGAGTAAAGATCACCCCATTTGCTGCCCGAATCAAATAGCCAAGCGAGGGGCTACGGAAAGGTGTGAATAGGATGGAGGAAAGAAAGAATGATCCCGGAAAAATGATCGGCTGTCGATGTAAGTCTGGTTAGTAACATACCAGGTGTAGTCTAGTGCAGTGGAGAAAGCAGACTGATAATCGATGCAAGAGTAGAGTAATGAGTACGAGGAATCAAAATGAGTAGGAGTAACCAACTGAATTTATAAACATGGAGGGGGGTGAGAGAGGCGAGAAAAGCCATTCCAACTGGAAATGCCACGTGAGTCAGCAATGAGAACCTAATATCACCCCACACAGAGGAAATGGTGGGCATTAAAAAATCACCAAGAAAACAGAAGTGGGTGTTGGGTAAGGATTAAACAAGAAAGGCAAAGTCTGGATAAAAAATGCATGCAAGAAAGGAGAGAGATATAAAGAAACATATTGTAAACCACTTTATTCAAGTGGAATTACGGGCTGCAGTGTAATGCAGCGAAGGTAGGACAAATAGTTGACAGGTACAGGAATATCATTGCGTAAAGAAGGGCACTTACATTAAAGGTCCCATCTGAGAAAGGATACGAAGGAATCAATAAAGGGGTATAGGTATGAAAACAGCCAGTGGTAATTTTGAGTGTTTCTTGTAAGCAAGCACCAACAGGGAAAAAGTAACCTGGAAGCAAAACATCTGAAGCTTCACCCCGATTACCACCCCTGAGGCCGCATGATATTCCACTGTAAATAGGCCATGATTGCCGATTGAAGAAAAATACTTCAGGAATCTGTAGGTAAAGGCCCTACGTTCTCTAATGGGTTTAGAAAAGTCAACGTGTGTGGCATTGGAAGACATTCAAGTATCGATAGGAACGGACAATGCGAAGAATGGGGTTGTGAAGATGGAGGTGAAGAGGGAAGTAGAAGGAGATCAGGAAGTGAAATCAGAGTCCATTGAAGGTTTAGATCTCACTGTCAATAGATTATTCGAAAATAAATGGCTATTAAGTGTTTCGTGAATTCAAAGACTGTACGGGATGACCATATTGGATATAGAAGGAGGAGGGTGTAAAAGATTGGGACAGGTAATGGACGTACCAAAGTAGAGGGGAGGGAAGAGTGTAAGGGACTGGAGATGAAGTGTGTATGGGGGTACAGAAAACCTGGGAGGTGGTTGCAGAAGAGGGAGAAACTTGGGAGGGGAACGGGGGGGAAAGAGCATAGTACTGAGGAGGAGGGTGACTCTCCACAACTTGTAATAGAAGCCCATAAGAGAGGGGAAGAAACAAGTTGACAGAGACTGGAAAGTAAAGTGTGGAAGGTGGAAGGCAAAGAAATTTGTAGCAATGTGGGATGTTTTTTTGGACTCTGAGTAGAGGGCGATTGGTATTTAAATGGTGTCCGTAACGAGTCGCTTGTCGATACTGGGGCTTGTGAGGAAGGACGCGAAGACGTGAGAAACCGCAGACTGATATTGTAGACGTGACAGTCAAGCCAAGGACAGCAAAAGATTAGATCCGTAGTGGGCTATGGGAGGGGTAACAACAGAGAGGCTGTCAGAAGATTGACCCCATAAGTGGGGGCGGATGTTTGGAAATCACGAGAATAAGAAACACGGTGATAGTCTCCCTTGTAGGCGGAGATGATAACTTGCCAAAGCATAAGTTGAGACCTTTCCAGCCATCTTTGAGATCAAACGGATTTCACGTTCATAATTAAGTAGACCATGTGCAACGGCGGGAAGTACGCGAAGGGTGAGCTTCATTACAATTAAGGCAAAATGGAGGTTGACTGCAAGATGTATTAGAATGGTCCGTCGGCACCACAGACTGGGCATTCGGCCATAGATCTGCAAAATTTCGCTGGGTGACCAAAACGCCACAATTTCTACATTGTTGCAGTGTAGGTATCACCTTTCGAACTTGTAACCGATGTCCCGCGACATATACAGAGGACGGGAGTTCTCGGCTGTCAAAAGTTAAACGAGCCACATTGCAAGGGTAACGTCTCCGCCCCCGGGCAGGAAGGACATAAGTGTCTACTTTGAGGATTGGGAGATCCTGGAGTTCCAGCTGTTCAAAAATGTCATTGCCACATGACTGGAAATTCTGTTGGACTATGGTATGGGGCAGAATGACAGTACCACTACAAGAATTGAGAGAAAGATGTTTTTCAATAGTGATAGGAGTAGTATCGATATTCGAAAGGAGAGAAAGATCATGAGCTTGGGTAGCATTCTGGACAGTGATGATGCGCATACCGCTCTTGAGAGCATGAAATAAAATAATATAACAATATAAGATGAGGCAGTGTCTATACACTATACAGCCTCTCCTCACTTAGTGACATACTCATTTACCGATGACTCGGACTTGTAAACTCTTCCAGTAGTTTACCACAAACAGTGGTTAAACTACTGAAAGAGGATCCTCCAGGAGGTAGTGTGTACCACTGCGACAGCAAGTGCAGAGGTTAGTCTTTAATTAAGTTTGAAACAGGGTTTTGTGTATGCACATATCTAACTGTTTGTAACAAAAAAAATCAACAAATCTCCAGGTAAATGAAGGAAAACTACAACAGCAATTTATTTGGCATTTGGAAATGCTTTGATATTCAATGAATAAATGTGCTCTTTCAAAGCCCTGAAAAAATTCTTACTTTTTTAAACACACTGGCTGTCTCCCACCCAGGCAGGGTGACCCGAAAAAGAAGAAACAAAAGTTCTCTTTTTACATTCAGTAATGTGTACAGGAGAAGGGGTTACTAACCCCTTGCTCCTGACATTTTAGTCGCCTCTTACGACACACATGACTTACGGAGGAAGAATTCTGTTCCACTTCCCCATGGATATATGTATGTAATGAATATAGTAATTATTATTATCATTATATTTATTATTATATCTCCATGGGGAAGTGAAGCAGAATTCTTCGTCCATAAGCCATGCGTGTCGTAAGAGGCGACTAAAATGTCAGGAGCAAGGGGCTAGTAACCCCTTCTCCTGTATACATTACTGAAGTTAAAAAGAGAAACTTTAGTTTTTCTTTTTGGGCCACCCTGCCTGGGTGGGATATGGCTAGTTTGTTGAAAGTTTATTATTTTAATCATGGGCAAATGATAAAACTGGAAGAGTTATATAGCATCTGAGAAAGGGACGATAATCAGCTTGCTATGAGCAAAGATAACAATGATTCTTGGCCCACGAGCTCTGTACTACGTTTAATATACACCTTTGAAGGAATTACAGACAATGAAAGGAAATCCAGTGCAACTTACAAAAAAATTCCTGTCAATTGCTACCAAAGGCTTGTGTGTGTTCACTTAGTTATTCACATTAAAACTAGAAAAATATTAAAGCCTTGAGTTAAGGACTAACAAGGAGAAGTGGGTGGCTGGTAATGGCAGGTATGGATAGAAATGATGTTATTTTGTAGTGGTCGCAACAATAAACAATTCTGTAACCAATGGAATTCGTTCACTGTTTCCTAATCAACTGACCCAGAGGAATTTCCCGCACTTCCAGTCTGTTAAAGCGAGGTTTCCTGACAAGATAGTGTAAATGACCCTTACATGCAGTAGAAACTTTAATTAACCACATCATTAGCCATATTAAAATTTTCTTTAATAAAGATATCCAACATATCTATATGGGAAAGTGGATAACTAAATTAATATAATTATTAATAAAACAATCCAGTAGATATACAGTGTTATTGAAACTCACTTGTGTGGAGAAATGAGTCTGTCTAGAGCCAGATCTGAAGACTGAGCCCAGCATGCCGTAACTCAGATCCATCTCGTGGGTAACCTCTTTGATGGCTGATCTAACCTTAGTTAGATCTGGTCGCTCATATGTGCTAGAGTCCAAGTTCCTAGGATAAATTATTATTATTATTATTATTGCATTTTGTATAAACCCTTTTGGGGTTTCGGCTGTACTAGTACGGCTTACGCGCCAGGGTTATTGACGTACTAGTACGCATAAATTCTAGCACCCTCAAATCTAACAAGAGAAAGCTGGTAGGCCTACATATGAAAGAATGGGTCTATGTGGTCAGTGTGCGCAGTATAAAAAAAATCCTGCAGCACACAGTGCGTAATGAGAAAAAAAAACTTTGACCGTGTTTTTGGTTTAAAACAGCGACTTTGCACTGTATTTTCGTATGGTATTTATTGTTGTATTCTAGTTTTCCTGGCCTCATTGTATAGAATGGAAGACATATTATAGAAATTGAGATGATGTTGACTGGTTTTACAATGAAAAGTTCCTTGAAATTGAGCTCAAAGTAGCAGAAATGTTCGATTTTTACCAAAGTTCAAAAGTAAACAAATCATGCCAAGCATCCAATACACATCAACTGGTGAGTCTAATATTCCTTCACAAGTGTGCCGATATTATTTACACCATTTCTACATTAATGCAGTAGTCTGCATAACAGTAAATCTTATTATTTTTGTGAGAATAAAAAATCAAAGTGGAAAGCAAAAGAAATGTAAGAGGGGCGTGGGGACATGACTAATGAACAGAGGAAATGTTATTTTAGTGCCAGGAATGTCTTTCTTGTTTATTCTGGACCCTATTTGGAAATTGGCATCTTTTGAAATTTGTGTGAAATTGGCAAAATTGCTAAATTCTGACCACTATTGGATAGTTGAAATCGGTAAATGGGTGGTTTCTTGTACTCATTCGATAGAAAAAACGGAGTTCTAGCAAAATAGTTATGATTTTTGTCGACTAGTACACTGGAATTGGCCAAAAATAGGGCTCAAAGTGGGCAAAATCACCGATGCATAAACATCGTCGAGACCGCTAACTTCGCGAGAGCATAATTCTGTAAGTTTTCCATCAAATTTCATACTTTTGGTGCCATTATGATTGGGAAAAGATTCTCTATCTTTTCACAAGAAAAAATAATTTTTTTTTTTAAATTTTGGTGACCCTGAGAACAAGCCTCTGAGAGGGCCTGGCGACCCTCAAATGGTTAAAGCATCGGCTGTTCTTCATGGGGAAGTGGAACAGAATTCTTCCTCTGTAAGCCATGCATGTCATAAGAGGCAACTAAAATGCTGGGAGCAAGGGGCTAGTAACCCCTTCTCCTGTATATATTACTAAAAGTAAAAGGAGAAACTTTGTGTTTCCTTTTGGGCCACCCCGCCTTGGTGGGATACAGCCGGTTTGTTGAAAGAAAGAAAGAAAAATATCGGCTGTCTCCCACTGAGGCAGGGTGGCCAGAAAAAGCAAAAGTTTTTTCTTTTTACATTTAGTAATTTAAACAAGAAGGTGTTACCAGCCCCTTGCTATCAGCATTTTATTTGCCGCTTTCGGCACACATGGCTTACAGAGGAAGAATTCTTCTCCGCTTCCCCATCAAGTATTATTCTTATGAGGAGCTATATCACCTAAAGAAGTTTAGCAATTAGTTTCTGAGTATATTATCATGATCGAAGAGTACTGAACTCATAGGGTAGTAGGTCGTACTGCTTGGGTAATGGGAGGTAATCAGGTCTGATACAAGAAAAAGTCTGGTTAGCCAGACTTGAGTCCTGAAAATGGGAAGTACATTGCCTACACTTGAAAGGAAGGCTTTGGGATATTGAAAGTTTGGAGGGATGTCTAATCTGTCATATCTGAGCGCCTCTGCAAAAACAGTGATTATGTAATTATTATTATGAGTGACGGTGAAAGTGTTGAATGATGATGAAAGTTTTTTCTTTTTTGTTTTTTTTTTCTTTCTTTTTGGGTCACTGCCTCTGTGGAAAATGGCTGACGTGCTAAAGAACAAAACAAAAAAACAAAAACAAGAAACAGTAGAGTAGCATAAATACAGTTGTATCCCAGCTTACCATATTCAAGCTTACATGACTTGACATTTACAAAGTTGGCATTTTGGGACCAATTAATGACATATATTAACAAGTGACTATCCCTTCCAATGGCAGGACTAATGTCTTTCTTAATCTTAGTCGCCTTTGTATGGATTCTAACTCCTTCTCCTTTCAAGGTAAATTTTATTCTCAAACCTTTGGTGGTGTTATGGGTTCTCCTCTGTCTCCCGTTCTTGCTAATCTTTATGTGAAATACTACAAAATTATTTATAATTTTGTTGGGGATGAATTATATATGTTTTAGAGATGTAATGGATGTGAAAATCTAGATATCCATGGATGTGGATGTGTATGAGGATGTCTTATTTACTTATTTTGCAGATGCGGATATCTGTTTAGAGTAAAATGCAAATGCGGATGTAGGAAACTGTGTGGATGTTCCACGGATGTGGATATCTGATACATCTCTACTAGGCAGTAGAGATGTATCAGATATCCATGGATGCGGATGTGTATGAGGATGTTTTACTTATTTTGCGGATGCAGATATCTGTTTGCAGTAAAATGTGGATGCGTATGTAAGAAATTGTGTGGATGTTCCACGGATGTGGATATCCGATACATCTCAAATATGCTTTTCTTGGTTTATTTTCTATCAGATGCATATGTACTTTGTGTAACATTTTATGTATGTAGAGAGAACTCACATTTGCTTGGTAGAGAATTATTAAAAAATTATGGGCTAATAATTATGATTTTCCTAAGAATGAATTATATAAATTATAGATAAGAAGAAAACAGCATTGCAGTAGGCCTCTTGGGGCATGCTATTCAAGGCCTACTCTCAGTTACTTAAACACAGGGCCAGGAGCTGTGACTTGACCCCTGCAACCACAACTAGGTGAGTACAAGTGTATTATTAAAGTAGTGCTTTTTAGATACCAGGGAAGCAGTACTGTTATGTAGGTGCTACCAACAGTGTTGGTGCTACCAACAGTGTTGGTGCTACCAACAGTGTTGGTGCTACCAACAGTGTTGGTGCTACCAACAGTGTTGGTGCTACCAACAGTGTTGGTGCTACCAACAGTGTTGGTGCTACCAACAGTGTAGATGCAACTAACAGCCATTAACCCTTAAATGGTCCAAACATATATATACGTTTTTTCAACATCTGAAAGTATGTAAAAAAATGTAGATCCTTTTTGTTTTACATTTGAAAACGTGTAAAAAAACTTTTATCTACATTTTTTTTGTTATATTTGAAAATGTGTAAAAAAAGTAGATGTACTTTTGTAGCTACGAATTTGAACGTCGATCTGTTTGGACCATTTAAGGGTTAATAAAGAGTGCTACTGCTAAACCATTGCATTCCTAAATACTAGCAGAGCAGTGAGAAGGGGAGAGAGAGAGGGTGACAATACAACAGTGTCCCGCCCTGACATATACGCCTCGCCTTATGGTGGCTCGACTTAAGATATTTCGACTTTACGATGGTCTGATGTAATGTCAAACTTTTTTTTTTTTGGTACTGCACAGTACTGTACATTTATTAATATGGTAAACTTGTATTAATTTATTTATTTTTCAATATTGGTGTTTAGTTAGTTACAGTAATTATTTGTTTATTTACGCATTTAGTGACAGTAGTTATTTATTTAGCAAATCACATTCATATCCGACTTACGATGGGCTCGTCAGAATAAACCATACCATGGGTGGGGTTTGAACCCACGGTCGAAGAGTCTTAAAACTCCAGACCGTCACGTTAGCCACTGGGCCAGCTAGTTAACGAAACGGTCTGGAATTTTGAGACTGTCTGATTGTGGGTTTAAACCCAAAAGCCTTCGACAAGTGTGACCATGGCGTAATAGCGCACAAAATGCGCGCTAAAGGAATAACAGGAAAAGTCGGTCGATGGATCTATAATTTCCTCACTAACAGAACACAGAGAGTAGTCGTCAACAGAGTAAAGTCCGAGGCAGCTACGGTGAAAAGCTCTGTTCCACAAGGCACAGTACTAGCTCCCATCTTGTTTCTCATCCTCATATCCGACATAGACAAGGATGTCAGCCACAGCACCGTGTCTTCCTTTGCAGATGACACCTGAATCTGCATGACAGTGTCTTCCATTGCAGACACTGCAAGGCTCCAGGCGGACATCAACCAATCTTTCAGTGGGCTGCAGAAAACAATATGAAGTTCAACGATGAGAAATTTCAATTACTCAGATATGGTAAACATGAGGAAATTAAATCTTCATCAGAGTACAAAACAAATTCTGGCCACGAAATAGAGCGAAACACCAACGTCAAAGACCTGGGAGTGATTATGTCGGAGGATCTCACCTTCAAGGACCATAACACTGTATCAATCGCATCTGCTAGAAAAATGACAGGATGGATAATGAGAACCTTCAAAACTAGGGAGGCCAAGCCCATGATGACACTCTTCAGGTCACTTGTTCTATCTAGGCTGGAATATTGCTGCACTCTAACAGCACCTTTCAAGGCCAGGTGAATTGCCGACCTAGAAAATGTACAGAGAACTTTCACGGCGCCCCATAACGGAGATAAAACACCTCAATTACTGGGAGCGCTTGAGGTTTCTAAACCTGTATTCTGGAACGCAGGAGGGAGAGATACATGATTATATACACCTGGAAAACCCTTTAGGGGGACTAGTACCGAACTTGCACACGAAAATCACTCACTACGAAAGCAAAAAAACTTGGCAGACGATGCACCATCCCCCAATGAAAAGCAGGGGTGTCACTAGCACGTTAAGAGACCATACAATAAGTGTCGGGGCCCGAGATGTTCAACTGCCTCCCAGCACACATAAGGGGGATTACCAACAGACCCCTGGCAGTCTTCAAGCAGGCACTGGACAAGCACCTAAAGTCAGTTCCTGATCAGCCGGGCTGTGGCTCGTACGTTGGTTTGCGTGCAGCCAGCAGCAACAGCCTGGTTGATCAGGCGCTGATCCACCAGGAGGCCTGGTCACAGACCGGGCCGCGGGGGCGTTGACCCCCGAAACTCTCTCCAGGTAAACTCCAGGTAAACACCCATGGTATGGTTTGTTTGCAATCGTGTCATTACGATTTCGTGAGACTCGTCAGAATGTAACCCCATCGTAAGTTGAGGACCAACTGTATTAATATTTAAGCTGTAATAATTTTGGGAAGAATTTAACCCTTTGAGGGTTTTCGTCGTACTAGTACGTCTTACGCGTAGGGGTTTTTGACGTACTAGTACTCATAAATTCTAGCGGCCTCAAATCTAGTGGGAGAAAGCTGGTAGGCCTTCATATGAAAGAATGGGTCTATGTGGTCAGTGTGCACAGTCTAAAAAAAATCCTGCAGCACGCAGTGCATAATGAGAAAAAAAAAACTTTGACCATTTTTTTTTAATAAATCAGCGATTTGCAGTGTATTTTCGTATGGTATTTATTGTTGTTTGATTTTCTTGGTCGCTTTTATAGATGAAGACTATTACGTTGAGCTGTTTTGATGGTTTCTAAACCTGTAAGTCCTGAACGCAGGAGTGAAGATAGCAGAATGTTGATATTACCCTGAAAATTCTAAGGGACTAAGTACCGAACTTGCACACGTAAAATCTACTACTACGAAAGCACCAAAATATTTAGCATTTAACTATGCACCATCCCCCATGAAAAAGCAGGGGTGTATAAGTAAAGACCAATACAACAAGTTAGGGGCCCGAGACTGTTCAATGCTCCAGCACACATAAGGGGAATTACCAATCAGACCCCGATGGCAGTCTTCAAGCAGGCATGACAAGCACCTAAATGCAGTTCCTGATCAGCGCGGCTGTGGTCGTAACGTGGTTTGCGTGCACCCATCATGCAAACATGCGCTGGTTATCAGGCGCTGATACTACCAGGAGCGAAATGGTCAAAGTGGAAAACGCGCGGCGTTGACCGCCCGAAACTCTCTGCAGGATAACTCCAGGTAAAACCCATGGTATGTTTAATTCAATCTGTGTCATTACGATTCGTGAGACTCGTCAGAATTTAACACCATCGTAAGTTGAGGACCAACTGTATTAATATTTAAGCTGTAATAATTTTGGGAAGAATTTAAAAAAGTATACAATTCTATGTGTCCCTAAATTCTGTCTTATGTAACAACTCATGAGATTATTTTTATTATCATTATATTTAGTGGGATGCCGTAAAGCAATAGGGATTATAAAACATCTTGGGAATGGTAGACAATCAGTTTTGATTTGAGGAGGAGGAGGAGGAGGAGGAGGAGAACTCCATTCAAATTACTGTAGATCAGTGTTTTATTAAAACTACAAGAGTTAATTTCTCAACTAACTTGTAGAGATCTCCCAGCATGACGTCTAAGTTCTGCAGTTTTGTAAAGAGCGAACACTTCTCCGTCCACACGTGAAGTTCCTGAACCAGCTCTGGCACCACTAAAAATGTCCGCCATCCACGTATTTTTTTGCTCTTTAAGATGTCGCCGAAAATGTGGTCACCAACATAGAGGACATCTTTGCCTTTGGCTCCAATAAGTTCCGTGAAGACGTCACAGCTTCCTGTAAACAAGGGCCAGACGTGATACAGTTTGTTTTTTCAACTTATTGGTCTTCACCCACCTAGGCAGAGCAACTTAAAAAAGAAGAAAACTTTATAGAGCTTTTCTTTTATATTTAGTAATTTACACGGGAGAAGGGATTACTAGCCCCTTGTTCCCGGCAATGTAATACAATACTGTATCAAAAGAAGATATATAATTTCTACAATTTCAACTTGAATATCACATACAATAATAATCACATATAATAATACAGTATCACATACAATAATACAGTATCACATACAATAATACAGTATCACATACAATAATACAGTATCACATACAATAATACAGTATCACATACAATAATACAGTATCACATACAATAATACAGTATCACATACAATAATACAGTATCACATACAATAATACAGTATCACATACAATAATACAGTATCACATACAATAATACAGTATCACATACAATAATACAGTATCACATACAATAATACAGTATCACATACAATAATACAGTATCACATACAATAATACAGTATCACATACAATAATACAGTATCACATACAATAATACAGTATCACATACAATAATACAGTATCACATACAATAATACAGTATCACATACAATAATACAGTATCACATACAATAATACAGTATCACATACAATAATACAGTATCACATACAATAATACAGTATCACATACAATAATACAGTATCACATACAATAATACAGTATCACATACAATAATACAATATCACATACAATAATACAGTATCACATACAATAATACAGTATCACATACAATAATACAGTATCACATACAATAATACAGTATCACATACAATAACAGAGTATCACATACAATAACAGAGTATCACATACAATAATAGAGTATCACATACAATAACAGAGTATCACATACAATAATAGAGTATCACATACAATAATACAATATCACATACAATAATACAATATCACATACAATAATACAGTATCACATACAATAACACATTATCACATACAATAATACAGTATCACATACAATAATACAGTATCACATACAATACTTGAACGTGTATCATATAAAACTGCCCCACAACTCCTTAATTAATACCAAGCATAGAATTCATTCAAAATCTGGTCATTCTTTTGCATGATTGTCAACATTCAGTAAGTAAGAGCAATCACTGAGGACACAGGGACAAACTCATATAAACAATTTAGACTTGCAACATTCCCTATTATCCACGGCTTCTGATTTCATCTGACTTCCAGGAACCTTTTATTTTTAAAAAACACCAGCTGTCTAGCACCGTGGTGGGGCGACCCGAAAGACAACTCTTTCACCATCGTTCACTCCACTGTCTTGCCAGGACCCTGATCCCTGCAAATGTGGAAAAGGAAGGTGGCTCGAATCCCTTGGATAAAATGGCCTCTACTGATATGAAAGAACCCCTCTTGAAATGCATATGATGATGAAACAGCTGAACATCAATAGCATCAAAGCATTTATGGTACATAAGGAGGAGGTGTGGGATTACCAAAACTGTTGTCCAGAGGGCTGAGGAAGGGTTGTTGAGGTGGTTCGGACATGTAGAGAGAATGGAGCGAAACAGAGTGACTTCAAGAGTGTATCAGTCTGTAGTGGAAGGAAGGCGGGGTAGGGGTCGGCCTAGGAAAGGTTGGAGGGAGGGGGTAAAGGAGGTTTTGTGTGCGAGGGGCTTGGACTTCCAGCAGGCATCCGTGAGCGTGTTTGATAGGAGTGAATGGAGACAAATGGTTTTTAATACTTGACATGCTGTTGGAGTGTGAGCAAAGTAACATTTATGAAGGGGTTCAGGGAAACCGGCAGGCCGGACTTGAGTCCTGGAGATGGGAAGTACAGTGCCTGCACTCTGAAGGAGGGGTGTTAATGTTGCAGTTTAAAAACTGTAGTGTAAAGCACCCTTCTGGCAAGACAGTGATGGAGTGAATGATGGTGAAAGTTTTTCTTTTTCGGGCCACCCTGCCTTGGTGGGAATTGGCCAGTGTGATAATAAAATAAATAATATAATATAACATTGACAAACTGACGAATATGGCATGCACCACCGAGGTACTACCACTACTACTGTTACTATGGGGCCTCATGGCCTGGGTGGCAAGGCTCTCACTTCCCATGCTGAGGGGTCCGGGTTTGGTTCACGGCAAGGGTGGAAACACTGGGTGCATTTCTTTACGCCAGTTGTCCTGTTCACTTAGCAAACAGATACCTGGGTGTTACTAGACTGGTGTGGATGGCATCCTGGGGGACAAGACTGAGGACCCCAATGGAAATAAGACAGACAGTCCCTCGATGACGCACTGCCTTTCTTGGGTTATCCTGGGTGGCTAACCCTCCAGGGTTAAAAATCCAAACAAAATCTTTTATCTTACTACTGTTACTACTACTACTACTACTTAAAAGATGCTTTACTAACCAGCGACTATCAACCTTTGCACTGAATTAATAAAACTATTGGTTGGTAGAACATTTCCAGAATAAAGATTCCCAGGTGTTGCACATGTTTCTTATTCCTCAATAAAGATGCCCAGGTGTCGCACACTTGTCTTTTGCACGAACTAAGTATGAGAAGCAATTTCTTATTTAGACATTTGTACAAAAAAGTAAGGATGGACTGAACAAACATACAGTTAAAACAATGCCTGAGTAATGGGAGGTACTGGAATCTGATTTGATTCAGGGAAAACGGGTAACCGAACTTGAGTCCTGGAGGTGGGAAGTACAGTGCTTGTATTCCGAAGGAGTGGTGGAGACTTGATGCAATTTTTGAACTGTGGTACTGGCACACCTATGGCAAGATAGTGATGGAGTGAATGATGATGAAAAAAGTGTTTCTTCTTTCTCAGGTCACTTTGCCTTGGGAGACAGCCAGCGTGTTAAAATAATAATATAACATGGGGAAATAGAAAAGAATTCTTCCTCTGTAAGTCATGCGTGTCATAAGAGGCGACTAAAATGCCGGAAGCAAGGGACTAGTAACCCCCTTCTCTTGTATATATTATTAAATTTAAAAACAAAGACTTGTTTTTCTTTTTAGGTCACCCTGCCTTGGTGGGAAATGTCCAGTTTGTTGAAAGAATAATAATAATACACCTACCATCCGACTTACGACTGAGTTCAGTTCCGAGAAACCGGTCGTAAGTCGAACTTTACTACTGGATATCAACATCACATTTTTGTAATGACTTCATTTCATTGTTTAATTTTGGTATTTCATGTTTTACTTTACTTTTTATGTTGTTAGTACTGTATTTTATACTGTAAGGTTTAGGATAAACACTGTGTACAACACAAATAGTTGTTTATTTCCCAGAAATTTGGCATAAAAAACACGGTTGTAAGTCGAGTGGTCGTAAGTCGAGCAGGTCGTAAGTCGGATGGTAGGTGTAATCAAAATGAAGGTTTATTTCCAAGAAAGTATACAAAAGTGCAAAAAATGAACACTGTGAACACTGACAGATTACTGACCTAAAAGGCCACAGGAACCATATGACTTATTAATGTTCCAAATTGGGCCAAAAACTTATCATAAATTTCAGCCTCTTAAATATGGATTATTTATGTGTTGTGCTAGCCATGGTAATGTGACTTTTCATTCTTCAGCAGGCTGATAATACTGAATCACATAATGCATTAAAAGAAAGTAAAACACTAACACACACCTCCAGAATAAACCTGTCCTTGTTTTAATTTGCCGGTGTGTGTTCCAAGCTTGAGAGCTCCGGTAGTGCTGTCCACTTGTCTCATGATCGTACCGTCCAGGAAGAAGACAGGTTTGCTTGCGTCAACGCCTATGAAATCGAAGAAAGTCTTCCAGTCTCTAACATCGCCATTCTGTGAAGAAAAGTAAATTCTGCAATAATAAATATTCATTATTAGTATGAATGAAGTTATGACTGATGACATACAGCAAACCCTTCATATAATGGACTTATAGAGGGTGTCCATTATATCAGAATAGTTAAAAAATATCAATAAAATGCACTAAAATACCCTACTGTATACCTAGTATATCAGTTAACACAATATATAGATACTCTACAGATAAGTTAAAAGTACAACATAAGAGTAAATTTTTTAATTTATTTACACTGTTATTTTATTTTATTATTATTATCACACTGGCAGTCTCCCACCAAGGCAGGGTGGCCTGAAAAAGAAAAACTTTCACCATCATTCACTCCATCACTGTCTTGCCAGAAGGGTGCTTTACACTACAGTTTTTAAACTGCAACATTAACACCCCTCCTTCAGAGTGCAGGCACTGTACTTCCCATCTCCAGGACTCAAGTCCGGCCTGCCGGTTTCCCTGAACCCCTTCATAAATGTTACTTTGCTCACACTCCAACAGCACGTCAAGTATTAAAAACCATTTGTCTCCATTCACTCCTATCAAACACGCTCACGCATGCCTGCTGGAAGTCCAAGCCCCTCGCACACAAAACGTCCTTTACCCCCCTCTCTCCAACCTTTCCTAGGCCGACCCCTACCCCGCCTTCCTTCCACTATTTACACTGTATGAGATTTAAAAAATTAACACTTTTCTCAACCATTCCCTTATACAGTGGAACCTTGGTTCTCATATAATCCAAGTTGGACCGAAACATCGTTGTAAGCTCGTCTGTCCTAGGGTGTGGGTTATTTGTGTGTTCCTGTAGTATACTGTAGTGGGGCCCTCTCTACTCTTAATAAAGTTACTTACCCCAACCACACTGTGTAGTCAAGCTGTATTCACCTAATTGTGGTTGCAGGGGTCAAGTCATAGCTCCTGGCCCCACCTCGTGTCTTATCTGTTGTTGCTAACATTATTCTGCAATACAGTGGAACCAGGGTTTTCGTTTGCCCTAGTCTGTATGTAAAACTATAGTTACTCTCTATAAAATGTATTTTTTGTTAATATTTTTGAGTACCTGGAATGGATTAATTGGATTTACATTATTTCTTCTGGGAAATATCAGCAAAAAATACATTTTATAGAGAGTAACTATAGTTGTACATACAGACTAGGGCATACGAAAACCCAGGTTCCACTGTATTGCAAGATAATGTTAGCAACAACAGATAAGACACGAGGTGGGGCCAGGAGCTATGACTTGACCCCTGCAACCACAATTAGGTGAGTACTGCTTGACTAAACAGTGTGGTTGGGATAAGTAACTTTATTAAGAGTGGAGAGAGCCCCACTACAGTATACTACTGGAACAAGACACATAGCCCACACATAGGAGAGACGAGCTTAAAACGATGTTTTGGTCCAACTTGGATCATTTACAAAGTCACACAGTGTGACTTTAAATGGTCCAAGTTGGACCGAAATGTTGTTGTAAGCTCCTCTCTCCTATGTGCGGGTTATTTATGTTTTGTTCCAGTCACAATATTGTACCTTTTTGTTCTTTATGCTACATGTACACTGTACTTATCACACGTATTTACCATGGAGATAAATGGTATAAATACCGACATGATGGAAAAATAAACACAAATGTAGTATAATGCAATCTTTCATTGACTACGTTTTGCCCACACAATGACTTTATCAAGTCACATGCAGATCTACCTGGGTAGATAAAAGTACAGGTAGGTTCACCATGACATCCTAACCCAGGTCTTCTCAATGTAGTGACATGGACCTGCAAGTCCATTATAGTCCAATTTACCCAACATTTTCCACCTGACTCTATATACTCATGTACTCTGCTTAGGTAGATCTGTTTATGACTTGATAAAGCCCACTTTGTGGGTGAAATGTAATCAGTAAAGGATCACATTACACTGTACACTGTATTTGTGCCTATTTTTTTTCCATATATTTACCTTGTCTGGGAAACTGAGGAGGTATTCCATGATAGCATTTGTGTACCAGTACTCTGAGTTGGTGAGGAGGAAGACCTTAGCTCCAGAGTCCCTCAATCTATCCAGGAGCAGTGGAAGGCGCTCATCCTTGTGTACGTACTCATCCACGCTTTCCACAGTCTTCTTCTTTAGGCCTCCCTGTTGTTCACATAAAATGATACAAGTATCACCTTTACACTGCTTACACAAAATTGAAATTCAGCAGCTGCATTACGTAAATAATTTATATTGTACATTATCGGTATATAATGTTGACACGCTTTTTCCATCATATAAGACGTGCTTTTTCTGACATAAAAGATGCAGTTTTCTGGCATTTAAGACACATTTTTCCAGCATATAAGATGCATTCCCCCCCCCAATAAATATCTTAAAAATCAGCCTGCACCTTATATGGTCAAGGTGTGGAACAAGGATAGACTGTGTATTACAGGCAAGTGATGGTTACAGTGCTATTGTACCATGCACTATCCTTCCTCCACAAAACTGTTCCATAGATTACTTTTGAGTAAATTCTATTATGAATTATATAATTTATATATTACCGGTATGTAATAAGCAAACCAGCCTGTGCCCGTATGTCTGTCCTGCCCTGCTGTCGTGCCTAGACTGACTGACTGAGAAGCGCCTAGCATCTCATACCATGTTTAAACAACGGTCACATCATTATACTGTCTTAACAGCTATTGGGTATACCTGGTATACATACTACACATAATATAACTACTACTGACAGTTGCAAATAATTGTAATGTAGCCATCTGTAAACAACGGATGGCCATGTTCATCTTGGTGGTTGATGGCAGTGCACAGATGATAGGTGCACAAGGTGCCACCTCTTGCACTCTCGGTGTGTACATAAGAGGCAGCAACTGCCTCACTATCATGTTGAAAAAACTACTGCATTTTTTATTTTCTTCCCAGAATACATCTGCCAAAAGTGGGGTGCCATTTTCATGCTGTAAAATATATTAAATAAAAAAGAAATCCCTCAATTTATACCTATTCATTGTATGTGATATAATGGACTAATATAAGGGATTCTCTGTGTGTCCATCAAATCACAATAAGGTTAAAAACTGCAAAAATCACTAAATGGAAATAAGATACTTTACCTGACTTTTTTGGGTAATCATAGGTAATTTACACTATCTATAACAATGGTACTTACGTGTACCTGTACCTAAAAAACTTGCTTACTAAAATATTCTACAGTATACCTAAAAATACACATACAGTTTACAGATCTTTCAACAAACCGGCCATATCCCACCAAGGCAGGGTGACCCAAAAAGAAAAACAAAAGTTTCTCTTTTTAACTATATATACATTATAGTATGCTCCTCATTTAGCGATGAATTCATTCACCGATGTGGTTTTAGGGACAGAACTCCATCATTAAGTGAGGAGAGGCTGTATAGCAAATACACCAACCAGTAACATAGTTGTTTATTATCATTATGAAGTATTATGCACTGTACATAATTGTATGTACTATACTTTTTTATGACTGGCAGTGTAGCAGGTTTGTTTATACTACTGTCGTATACGTGGTTCGTCACTGACCAAAAAGTTGGTATGCGGCGCATGACTGTATTGCACTGAGACAAGGAACACCTGTAATAAGATTGTTACTATCTCATACCTTCATGTGAACCCAGTCAACAGCAGTTCTAATATCCTGGAATATACTTTTGAAGCTCATATATAGATCTCCAGACTTATGCCCTCAAGCATCTTAACATACTGAGGGGAATTACTGAAGAAGTCTATCAAGCAAGCGATCATGTATATCTCCGGTAGGTTGAAGAGCGTGTTCATCACGTAGATCCTCGATTCATCCAGTTGGATGAATTTGTTAGGATACAATTCATAGACTTCTGATCTGTAGGAAGAAAAAGAAAGAGAAACTCAGTATTGCCATGTATGGACAACATAGTGAACTTTATGGGTAAGAATATGTTTATTTTTAAATTAAATCTCCGTAAAGGATACTACTAGGTACCTTTAACAGATAAAGTCAGTATTACTATGCATGGACAACATAGTGGACTTTATGGGTAAGACCACATTTATTTTTAAATTAAATCTCCTTAAAGGTACCTGGTACCTTTAACAGATAAAGTGAAGAAGATTTCTGCCTCTGTAATTCCAGGTCACTATAAGTACACCCCGTGTTTGTAATAATGTACAACAGTTAGGTATCTTTACTGAAACGTTTCACACACACAATAGGCTTTTTCAGTCAAGTACAAAGGCAGCAAGTGTAGTAGGCTACACCATAGCCTGAATTAGTCTACTGTATAGGTAAAACATTGTTGGACAATTGTTGGACAATTATGCTGCAAACAATTATCCTCAAATATTTGTTAAGTTATACCATGAATGAAGGAAAGATCCTGGACTTCACCTTACGAAAGCAGACAAAGCAAATGCGATAGTAATTATGGACAAGGTAGATTTTAGGGGAAAAATAAACATGATATTAGGAGACAGGGAAACTCACGCATGTCTTAAGGAATAAAAGCTAATTTAATGTCACTTGTTTTGATTTAATGCCAGAATTAAACAATACTTACGGTTTGAGGAATGTGAATCCATGAACACAAACCAGAATGTTGCCGAACCCATCAACTTTGAGAAGGTTACCATACAGCCGGTCAAACCACAATCCTCTAGCAAAAAAAAAAAAAAAATCATACTGATAATACACCCTTTTTTTTCTTATTATATTCATAAATATAAATATAAAAAAATACCGGAGTGAAAACAGGAAATAAAACCCGAGTGTTCGTGTAATCACACACATCTTCTGAAGATGTGTGTGTAAGTGCACGAAAAAACTCAGGTTTTATTTTGTATTATCATTGTGGTATTTCTAAATGTTTGCAATCATGCATTTTATAATAATAATAATAATAATTATAATAATAATCTTTGTTTCTATAAGTACATGTACAAAGTATACAGACCATAGCTGACATCAATGGCATACTGCTATATAGAAAGTCACTTGTTATGCTGAGAATTTTGAACAAACTAGGTCAATTTTGTCCCAGGATGCAACTCACATCAGTTCACTAACACCCAGGTACCTACTTACTGCTAGGTGAACATGGACAGCAGGTGTCTTAAGGAAATACGTCCTAGTGTTTCCACCTATACCGAGGATTGAATCATAGACCTCAGCATATGCTGAGCATGTTAACAAACATTATTTTTTTTGCTGGTATTATTTTATGAACTTACCGACATGTTGGCATTCTTTTTTATATCAGTATAAGAATATTGGCATTCTTTTTTATATCAGTATAAGAATACAGTGGACCCCCACATAACGATCACCTCCGAATGCGACCAATTATGTAAGTGTATTTATGTAAGTGCGTTTGTATGTGTATGTTTGGGGGTCTGAAATGGACTAATCTACTTCACAATATTCCTTATGGGAACAAATTCGGTCACTACTGGCACCTGAACATACTTCTGGAGTGAAAAAATATCATTAACCGGGGGTCCACTGTATTGGCATTCTTTCTTATGTTGGTATATGAATATTGAGTTCAAGGCAGCCAACAATTATGTTATGGTTTTTGCAAGGGACAACACGGCTGCAGATTGTAAACTCATCTTACAAAGATAAACGTAAGATGTGAAAGAAGCATCTTTAGGACAACACTTTGCTCTGTGTCAAGCTTTGCTAGATCATCAGCGCAAAAACCTTGTTCTATAACTGTCGTTGCTGTTCTTATATGTGTCGGCAATACTCCATTTCATCCAAGCTGATGTCCAAACAAATGGCATAAAGCTGAAAAGTGGCAATATACCATTTCATTCAAGCTGACGTCAAAACAAATGGCACAGAGCTGATAAGTGAATGCAAAGGACACAGACGCAGACTGAGGAAGACTGTTTCACAGGAGAAACACTCAATAAAGTTCCTCGCTGGAAGTATCTTTCTCCTGTCTACGTCAATGTTAGTTTACCATTATGAAATGACCCAGGGCTATGAAGACTCACGAAATCACAATGACACGATTGTAGACAAACCGTACCACGGGCGGTGATTGAACTAGTGGCGAGTTCAATCCCCACCTGTGGTATTTTTTTTTTTTCAGAGCTATGAAGATTATCTATTATGTCACTACATATAAAGAAGAAAACTTGGGTGATATAGATCCTAAAGACTGCTTTACTAAACAGTTCTACCAACCTGTTGCAACATAATGCACCATGCAAAATATTGCTCACTAGACAATTTAGGATGAATTTTCAAAACACATTAATAATACTAATAATACTAATACTACTACTACTACTACTACTACTACTACTAATAATAATAATAATAATATAATATCTTTATTTCTACCAGTACATGTACAAGGTATACAGACGATAGCAGACATCAATGACATACTACTACATAGAAAGCCGCTTGTTATGCAGAGCATTTCGGGCAAATTAGTCAGTTTTGTCCCAGAATGCAACCCACACCAGTCCACTAATGCCTAGATACCCATTATTATTGATGGTGAATACCTGGAGTTTACCTGGAGAGAGTTCCGGGGGTCAATGCCCCCGCGGCCCAGTCTGTGACCAGGCCTCCTGGTGGATCAGAGCCTGATCAACCAGGCTGTTGCTGCTGGCTGCACGCAAACCAACGTACGAGCCACAGGCCAGCTGGTCAGGAACCGACTTTAGGTGCTTGTCCAGTGCCAGCTTGAAGACTGCCAGGGGTCTGTTGGTAATCCCCCTTATGTATGCTGGGAGGCAGTTGAACAGTCTTGGGCCCCTGACACTTATTGTACGGTCTCTTAACGTGCTAGTGACACCCCTGCTTTTCATTGGGGGATGTTGCATCGTCTGCCAAGTCTTTTGCTTTCGTAGCGAGTGATTTTCGTGTGCAAGTTCGGTACTAGTCCCTCTAGGATTTTCCAGGTGTATATAATCATGTATCTCTACCGCCTGCGTTCCAGGGAATACAGTTTTAGGAACCTCAAGCGCTCCCAGTAATTAAGGTGTTTTATCTCCGTTATGCGCGCCGTGAAGGTTCTCTGTACATTTTCTAAGTCAGCAATTTCACCTGCCTTGAAAGGTGCTGTTAGTGTGCAGCAATATTCCAGCCTAGATAGAACAAGTGACCTGAAGAGTGTCATCATGGGCTTGGCCTCCCTAGTTTTGAAGGTTCTCATTATCCATCCTGTCATTTTTCTAGCAGATGCGATTGATACAATGTTATGGTCCTTGAAGGTGAGATCCTCTGACATGATCACTCCCAGGTCTTTGACATTGGTGTTTCGCTCTATTTTGTGGCCAGAATTTGTTTTGTACTCTGATGAAGATTTAATTTCCTCGTGTTTACCATATCTGAGTAATTGAAATTTCTCATCGTTGAACTTCATATTGTTTTCTGCAGCCCACTGAAAGATTCGGTTGATGTCTGCCTGAAGCCTTGCAGTGTCTGCAATGGAAGACACTGTCATGCAGATTCGGGTGTCATCTGCAAAGGAAGACACGGTGCTGTGGCTGACATCCTTGTCTATGTTGGATACGAGGATGAGGAACAAGATGGGAGCGAGTACTGTGCCTTGTGGAACAGAGCTTTTCACCATAGCTGCCTCGGACTTTACTCTGTTGACGACTACTCTCTGTGTTCTGTTAGTGAGGAAATTATAGATCCATCGACCAACTTTTCCTGTTATTCCTTTAGCACGCATTTTGTGCGCTATTACGCCATGGTCACACTTGTCGAAGGCTTTTGCAAAGTCTGTATATATTACATCTGCATTCTTTTTATCTTCTAGTGCATTTAGGACCTTGTCGTAGTGATCCAATAGTTGAGACAGACAGGAGCGACCTGTTATAAACTCATGTTGCCCTGGGTTGTGTAACTGATGGGTTTCTAGATGGGTGGTGATCTTGCTTCTTAGGACCCTTTCAAAGATTTTTATGATATGGGATGTTAGTGCTATCGGTCTGTAGTTCTTTGCTGTTGCTTTACTGCCCCCTTTGTGGAGTGGGGCTATGTCTGTTGTTTTTAGTAACTGTGGGACGACCCCCGTGTCCATGCTCCCTCTCCATAGGATGGAAAAGGCTCGTGATAGGGGCTTCTTGCAGTTCTTGATGAATACGGAGTTCCATGAGTCTGGCCCTGGGGCAGAGTGCATGGGCATGTCATTTATCGCCTGTTCGAAGTCATTTGGCATCAGGATAACATCAGATAGGCTTGTGTTAACCAAATTTTGTGGCTCTCTCATAAAAAATTAATTTTGATCTTCGACTCTCAGTCTGGTTAGCGGCTTGCTAAAAACTGAGTCATATTGGGACTTGAGTAGCTCACTCATTTCCTTGCTGTCATCTGTGTAGGACCCATCTTGTTTAAGTAGGGGCCCAATACTGGACGTTGTTCTCGACTTTGATTTGGCATAGGTGAAGAAATACTTTGGGTTTCTTTCGATTTCATTTATGGCTTTTAGTTCTTCCCGCGATTCCTGACTCCTATAAGATTCCTTTAGCTTGAGTTCGATGCTTGCTATTTCTCTGACCAGTGTGTCCCTACGCATTTCAGATATATTGACCTCTTTTAGCCGCTCTGTTATTCTTTTCCGTCGCCTGTAAAGGGAGCGCCTGTCTCTTTCTATTTTACATCTACTCCTCCTTTTTCTTAGAGGAATAAGCCTTGTGCATACATTGAGTGCCACCAAGTTAATTTGTTCTAGGCATAAGTTGGGGTCTGTGTTGCTTAGTATATCTTCCCAGCTTATATCGGTTAGGACTTGGTTTACTTGGTCCCACTTTATGTTTTTGTTATTGAAGTTGAATTTGGTGAATGCTCCCTCGTGACTAGTCTCATTATGTCTGTCTGGGGCTCCACGCATACATGTCTGAACCTCAATTATGTTGTGATCTGAGTATATTGTTTTTGATATGGTGACATTTCTTATCAGATCATCATTGTTAGTGAAGATGAGGTCTAGTGTATTCTCCAGTCTAGTAGGCTCTATTATTTGCTGGTTTAAATTGAATTTTGTGCAGAGATTTAAAAGCTCGTGTGAGTGTGAGTTTTCATCAGAGCTACCTCCTGGTGTTATTACTGCAACACTATTATTTGCTATATTCCTCCATTTTAGGTGCCTTAAGTTGAAATCCCCCAGGAGCAAGATGTTGGGTGCAGGAGCTGGAAGATTTTCCAGACAGTGGTCAATTTTTAACAGCTGTTCCTGGAATTGCTGGGATGTTGCATCCGGAGGCTTGTAGACTACCACAATGACTAAGTTTTGGTTCTCAACCTTTACTGCTAAAACTTCCACTACATCATTTGAGGCATTTAGCAGTTCTGTGCAAACAAGTGACTCTGCAATGTACAGGCCAACCAACCCCTTTTGCCTGTTCACTCTGTCACATCTGTATAGGTTGTAACCTGGGATCCATATTTCGTTGTCCAAGTGATCCTTTATGTGGGTCTCAGTGAAAGCCGCGAACATTGCCTTTGCCTCTGCAAGCAGTCCACGGATGAAAGGTATTTTGTTGTTTGTTGCTTGCTTTAGACCCTGTATATTTGCAAAGAAGAATGTCATTGGACTGGTGGTAATATGGACAACCGGTGTAAGGAAACACACCCAATGTTTGTACCCTCGCTGGGAATCAAACCCAGACCCTCACCGTGTGAAGT